TCCAGTTTAGCGAAGGAGATCTAGTGACACTGCCCGAGGTATTATTGTTACAGGCATGTTTTTATACCTCAGATGTCCCCCTTTGGTCATAAGAGAACAGCTGTAATCATGGGGAAATACTTCTCTGTTAGAGAACTCACTACAGTTATTCAGATACATAGAAGTGTAACCCTACTAAAAAAATCCTCCTCTGTTCACTGAGATTGGAATGTTGGTAGTAAAGGTGCTTTAGAATGGGATAAATTTCTAAATGTATCAGAAGACAAGTGAGCACTCACAGCTACAGGACATAACGGGACTTGGAAGGCCCTGAACTCTATTTCTGCAGAGAAATCTTCCCTCTACACTGGAAATGTGCTCTGTAATGAAGACAACGACAAATTAATAACGGATACCGTGTTCTTATATCAAGCCTTTCATCAGAGGACTCTCAAAGCGCTGTATAAGTCCAGTATCCCAACATTCCTATGAGGTAAAGTGAGGCTCAGTGATTTGCCAAAGGTCACCAGTGAACAAAAGCCATATATCCTGTGTAAAGTTTTAATCATTAGATCCCAGTCCCTCCTCTAACACGGGAGACAATACTGTGGAAATCATGATATAGCTTTGCAAGGTCATTTCACACCAGCACTTGTTGTCAGACCACACTCCCTACACATCGCAGCTGCAGCCTTTCTTTGGGATTATCGGGAGTGTTATTGGAGTTCATGTACTTACTTCCGACTCTGGGAGACTCTTCTCTCTGCTAAAGACCCTGGAATATACTTCAGCCCTGGTATTCTCTTCAGCAGGCTGAAAGGGAACTTCTGATCCAGCCTAGATACCACCGACTCTGGGAGATCCAAACAGAAGCAGTAGCCAAGACCATCTGAGTTTAGCAGCGTGTTAAGGAAGACTGTGGAAGGTGCAAAATGGAATTAACTTTCTACATACAACCACTCTAAATACACCACCTTTTTACCACCAAATCAAGGCTTCTCTCAAGGCGGAATGTCTGGAAAAAATTTCCCCTCAGTTTTCAGACCCAATGAGCACCATGACTCTCCTGAACGCATTCCTTACGTACACAAAAGCCTCACTGACTGCAATGGAAGTGAGGGGTGTAAAATAAATGCAGGATCAGGCCCCTCTGAGCAACAATAAACCTAAGAGTCACTAAGCAGTCTACAGAAAGCCATGAACCCGCACAACAAAAAGTCAGCGAGCCTAAGCAATCAGAATTTAGCATTTTTTCCTACTCCTTCCCCAGCACAAGTCAGGCTCCACACATGCTCTTTTCACTGGTTAAACAGGTTATCACACCTGAAAAGGATACAGACTTTCCCAACTATGAGGCCACATATGTTACTCAGGAGTGAGGAGTGGGGAATAAACCATGCCACGCAGAGCATTAACCAGGGCACCAGCACCATAGGAACATTAACCCCAAAGAGTGGTGCCCTTCTCATGCGTGAACGTGTGGTGGACACTGCCAACATGGCAAAAGCAACTGGTGTAAATCCTTTGGCATCTTCCACCTCTGACACCCCAGAGACGACAGCCTCAAATAAGAGATACAACAGGGCCGAAGAAATGGCAAAGGCAAAGGTGACAAAGCAATGCTTCACTGTGCCTACGTTCTTCTCAAAGCTGCCAGCAAAGTACCAGATGATAACGCCACTGCATACCAGGGATATCAGATCTTCATAGACAAAGATATAGGTCACCAGTCTGTGAACTGAGCAGACAGTCCTTTTAGAGAGGTACAGACAGCAGTGAGTTTGCTTTAGGCCATTTACTATGTTAAGTTTGATCAGAAGAGGAGAAAATAAAATAGGAAACCACAGGACTTTTTTGTTTGTTTTTTAATTCTATCAGGCTGGAGAAGAATCTTCCACAGAATGGGGTGGAAAACAAATAGCTTGGGGCATTTAAATCTAGCCTGGACAATGCGCCAACTGCAGTTAGGATTAGTGCTGTGCTAGCCCCGGGGACATTTTCTTTCTGCTCCTTGGCCCAGCACCAGCATTTGGGAAAGTGTAATAGTTTGGAAATATCTCAATTGGTCTTGCCAAAAAGTTTTTAGCCCTGTCAGAATAAGAGGTGCACCAGACCTTAAAATTACATCAATCTAATTGTGGTCTTATTTCTTTCACTTAAACTGTAACACATTAGTAGCTGATATTTCTTCTTTGGACCGTCAGAAGGATGCTGACAGGTTTGTAAGATATCATACCTTAGAAGTGCCACAGGACCCTCAGACTATCAGTTCTTTCTTCAGCACTGGGCTGCAACTGAACATAGTAAATCACAGACCTCAGACCCATACAATTTTCAATCTGTGGGCAGGATTTGGTGCCCCAACAAGTCCTCCTCCCACTCTAACTTCTGAGATTCTTATAATATGTAAAATGAAAGAGAATACTGTCTGATACAACTGGTTAGGACCAAAGAGAAGGTAAGAAGAGTACTTTACAGATGAAGTTAACCAGAGCAGAAACACAAAAATCATTCAGTACTGGAGGGTGGACAACATGGGGATTAAGGGCATGAACAAAAGGGTATATGGGGAAAGTGAAGAATGGAAGGGCAGATTCTTTAAGCTCCTGAGATCTTAACCTCACCCCCCTACCAGAACATTCTGGAACTCAGGAACTCTCCCTTCACCCCACATCACACAATTACCAGCTTCTAAGGTGTTAACATTGCAAACTAGAAGGACAGGTCCCCAAATGAGGAGAGTTCTCCACTGAGGCTATGGTGTTCCAGCGTGAGAAAGGACCTCGGGGAGAGGTGTGTGACAGAGAAGTGGGTACCAAAACTTTGTAGGGCAGGAAATATCAATAGTATTATGCAACTGTCCAGCAGCTTTGGGTGGACAGATCCATCTCTTGGCGATGAGGAGGCCCTTTGAAGAAGGGGGGGGTGCAGAGGGGCATGCCTGGAAAGGTACCCCAGGGCTGGTGGATTTCTACAGCTGGTGAGAAGGGAGATGGACCCCAGGATGCGGAAGGAGATTCCCAGCAGACAGGACGCGGAGGGGGGGGAGTGTCCCATGGCGGCGGGTGCACTGGAGGAAGGGTCTCCTGGGGCATGATCCCGAGGTAGGGGGGCCCCAAGCCAGGAGAGAGGCCCGCAGGGGGCGAGGGGGCCCCAGGATGCGGGGGGGGCATGGGAGGGGAGGATGCACGAGGGGTGGGGAGTCCTGGGCGACCGGTGGCCGATGGGGGGGGACCAGCTCCCGAGCGGCCCGTACAGGGGGGTCCCGGGCGGACCCCATGGAGGCGGGAGGTCTCCTGGCCTCACCTTCCCCATCGCGCACCGGCCCGGGCCGCAGCGAGCCAGCGGAGGGGGGAGGCGGCTCGATGGCCCCAGCCCAGCGCAGCAGGCCGGGCCCGGACACCAGCAGGGACAGCAGCCCGGTGAGGAAGGCGGCGGTGGGGAAGCACGGCCAGGCCCCCGCCCAGCGGCTCTTCCCCGGCCCGGCCAGCATCCTCCCCTTCGGCTCGGGGCCAGCGTCCGGCCGCGGCCCGGCTTCTTCCGGGTTCGGGCCCCCTTCCGCCGCCGCCGCTTCCGCTTCCGGGGGAGGCGGGCGGGGTCGTGCGGTTGCCGTAGCAACGGGGCGCGAGGCCCGCCCCAGGCCTCGCCCGCTCCCGCAGCGCCCTGGGCAGGGAGCCGCGGCCCCGCCGGGAGCAGCGCGGGGCCTTGGCCCCGGCACAGGCCTCTCGCTCCGGCCTGGGGTGCCAGTGACGTCTCCCCCCCCCCCCCCGGCCTGCGCCACGCCCAGGCGGGTCAAAGCCAGGCCCCAGGCGCTGGAGGCGGGGTGCCGGTCCCGGGGGGACCCCCAGAGCCACCCTGCGGGGCGTTGGGCCGCCGGCGGAGACTCGGGCGCCACCCCGTCGGTCCCGTCTTGGCCCCGCTCCCAGGGCGCCTGGCAGGGAGTCAGTGCAGGGGGGAGCCTGGTGTTGGCTTTTACTGGACAAGAGCGAAAGCACATTTCCTGGGCCGGAGCAAGCCAAGGGTTTCCCTTAGCAAGAGACTGGGTAGAAACGGCCTCGCCGGCCTCCCCTGGGCGCCGCTCTTCGTCCTCCCCAACCCCCCTCTCGCGGCTGTTCCCCCTCTGGGCTCGCCTCTTCCTCACCCGTCCCCCACCCTTAAATCTGGACCCTCCTCTCTACCTTAGGTGGCCCCCCAGAACTGTCGAGTCCCAGCTCAGTGGTTTGAGCATTGGCCTGCTAAACCCAGGGTTGTGAGTTCAATCCTTAAGGGAGCCATTTAGGGATCTGGGGCAAAAATTGGGGATTGGTCCTGCTTTGAGCGGGGGGGGGTTGGACTAGATGACCTTCTGAAGTCCCTTCCAACCCTGATATTGGGAGGGATAGCTCAGTGGTTTGAGCATTGGCCTGCTAAACCCAGGGTTGTGAGTTCAATCCTTGAGGGGGCCATTTAGGGATCTGGGGCAAAAACTTGTGGATTGGCCCTGCTTTAAGCAGGGGGTTGGACTAGATGACCTCCTGAGGTCCCTTCCAACCCTGATATTCTATGATTCTATGTGGCAGACCTTGGAAACCCCAACAGTCCTTCGACCGTTCAGCCTCACCACGCCCCCGCGAGACAGGCTGGTGCCATTATCCCTCTTGTACAGAGGGGGAACTGGGACACAAAGAGACTAAGGGCTGGAAATGTGAAGGTCTTCGGCTACCTAAAGAAATAAAAAGGCGTTGCTGAGAGAGGGGAGTGGGGGAGTATGGTGGGGGAGGAGGGTGTTGAGGATGGGAACTGAGAAGGTTATAGGGTCTTGTTGGGGACACTGGGCATGGCGACTAGGTAATTCGAGGGGGTGGAAGGCCACGAGTGTGGATGAAGCCCCCTCACACTTGGCCCAAGTATCCTTGTCCCCCCCCCCCCGCCTCCGCCTCGAGGCACTCGCAGCAGTTATGCTGAGGATCTGCAACAATATGTTGCAGAGTCAGACTGCCTGAAACTAAACAAGGCCAAACAGGGCAGATATGGAAGAACAATGCTGAATAAAGCAGCTTTATGTATAGTTTAACAAATGATACAAAAAACAAGGGAACTAGCTGGTAACTGGATTGGCTGGCTATATGGATACTTAGGGCTGCTTGCCATTGAATAAGTATGCTGAAGAAAGCATGTATAAAAACCTGTGTAACTTCTTGCTCTGGGTACAGGATTTGAGATTGTAATCTTCCTGTACCTTTTTGAAGCTTCAAATAAACTTTTCTGCTTCTCCACCCCGTTGTGATTATTGGGTGAAGCACACCGGGTAGCAAACCTCCTCCCTCCCCCCACCACTGTTGCTTGCCTCTGGCACTGGGTGCCAGCAACATTCTGATCCCAAACCCAGCAAAGTCAATGGCTTTTCTATAGGGAAGTGAAGGGAGCTTGAAAATCATCACTCCTGTTGGGCCTTATGGGCCTAGGCGCTTTTGAGAATCACACCAGGTGCCTATCTGCATCTGCAGGCACCTACATACCTTTACAAATCTGGCCCTAAATGACTTGCCCAGGGTCACACAGGAAGTCTACGGCAGAGCGGGAATTGCCACCGGGTCTCCCAGGCTAACATGCTAACCACTGGACCATCCTCCATGTCTTCCTTACTAATTCCCATTCAAGATCCCTCTGCTTCCCTCTCTCACTATGGGGCTGATCTAAAGTCCATTGACTTCACTGAGTTTGGGATCAGACCCTATAACCATCTCGCTTCCCATCCTCAACAATCCTCTTCCCCCACTCTAATCCCCCCACTCCCCTCTTTCAGGCACTCCCCTTCATTTTCCTAGTGTTGGAACAATGCTCTGGAAACGTAAAGGGCTATAAGACTGCTAAGCATCATTATTATTCCTTCCTCCATCTCTCTGCTGCTCTCCCACCACCAGACCCATCAGAGAGCAGTGTCCCCTTGTTGCTGAGGCCTCCAGCATTTCAAATCACTCACAAAAAAATACGTTTAGGCGACAGTATAAATGGTGTGATTTGCAGCACAAGAGGCTGCTGCACCCCGAAGCATTAGGAATAAGCCCCTTCCCCCACTTCCTGACTCCTACCAGTTCAGTGTCCCTGCAAAATGCACTGGGCGATCGTTCTGGTCACAAGAGATGACTATATATTTCCAGGCGCTCTTTTCCGCCATGTACTCGCAGTCATTAGGGTATTCCCCAGAGAGTCTGCAATTAGTGACCCTGAATTTACGAATACTTTTTTTATACTCCTGGCCCTTTATGACATGCACTTTCCCCATGGTGCATGTGGCATCGATAACCTCCTCGCGAGCATGAATGAATGTGTTGAGTTTTTTACAGCCATCTCTAGTCATTGCGATCCGCTTGTTTCTCATTTCACTGTTACATCTGTTGTGGTCTATGGTGTCCAGTAGGGTCAAATGTTTCCGTCTGAAGGCCAGGGGGTTCTGAGCGCGAGAGATGCTGATGACAGACGTAGCAATGAATAACAGACATATCAGAGACATTCCCTTCAAAGCCATGTTGCTTAGCTGGACCTAGGTTAAAAACAAAGACACAAAGGGATGGAGACCCAAGGAAGGACTCCATAGATTTATAGATTTTAAGGCCAGACGAGGCTGTCTTTCATCTAGTCTGACCTCCTGCATTGCAGAGGCCATACAATTTCACCCAGTGATTTTTGCATCAAACATTTAACTTGTCGTTAAACTAAGAGCTTATCTTTTGGAAATCTGAACTTGATGTAAAGATCTTAAGTGATACAGAATCTACCACATCCTTTGATAACTTGCCCCAAAGGTTAATTACCCTCCGTTAAAAATGTCCACCTTTGACTTCCCACTAGCCTTAAAATGTCTCGCTGCTGCTACACCAGTGCAGCTTCACTGGCAACAGCAGGGGCAGTAGACAAGGCCGTGGCAGCCACAGGCAAGTTGACCATGGCGTTATGGAGTACTGCTGTCGGCAAAGTTCAATGATAGAGTGGCAAAATCCCCAGCACCTTGTTCACACTCAGGCTCCCATCCACCACTGCTACCTGAAATAGTAGGAAATTCCTTGGATAAAAAGCCGAGTATTGACCTAGCTGCAGAATATTATTTGCTGAGCACCTGTGCTTGGTGTTGTACATAGGAGACAGTCTATGCTCCACGTGGCTTACAGTCTGAGACTGGCATTGCTAATACAGTATTGCTGGCCATGTCAGTGCCTAAATAGAGAGACATAATACAGAGCAAAAACAGCAATGGAGGCCGGGGATTCCTAACTCATGGGGACTAGTATCTGTTAGATATTTTTCTGGCTATGTCTTTCTAAGCAGCTCAGCTTTCCAAACTGCTACAACCAGACATAACTAGAACGTCTCATAGGGGGGTTATCCATAACTCTACTGTTTTTATGTCCCCATAGTTTTTTTTTTCTGCTGTATGACAACTTTGTTTTGCAACTGCAAATGTTTGTATAATAAACGTGTATTTAAAGGCTCTCTGCCTGATGTCTAAAGGTGTACACGTCAGATTGCTTCCTGCAGGTGTATTATATCATCATCATCATTGCAAATCTCAAAGGGACACTGTCTGCTGGCAAATCGAGCACCACCCAGATTGATCTCTGGCAAGGTGCTCTGATTGCATATTCAGTTTGTTTATGTCCATCACTGGCAATCTTCTCCCACCACCAGGGCTGGGCTAAGTGTTAATTGCAGAACTGCCTGTGTCCTAAGCAGGGGAGCATTTATTAGTAGGGCTTCTGATTTTCAGACTTAACCGATAAACACCCCCATGCTAGATATACTGTATATGAAATCAGTGTTTATCCAATAAACACCAGAAATGGTTACTCAATGTGTGTTGACTTCACTCCTTTCCCCATGCAGTTTGTTTATACAGGTGAAGTCTCCGCTCCCTGGCTTGTATCTAATGGCTTGTCTACACATGGCAGTAATGTGGACTACAGGGGTGTGATTTCCAAAGTGCACTGACATGTTGTGTATTAATTGGTCCATTTAGACTCTGCTGGTGCATACTAAAGGTTCCCTAGTGTACTTTAACCTTGTGCTATTTGAAACAGTACTACGCATATATCCAAAAAGGAAGCCCTTAACTAAAATGCAGCCACCTCCAGCCTGAAGCATGGTAGCTCCTTCACAGTGCAGAACAACTCTATACAATGTACACAAGTCAAACTGCAGGGAGCAATTTAGGCCTCCATCCTGCAAAGGCTTAGGTCTGTCCTTAGCTGTTATGCACTCTGATGTGTTCCATCAACATCAGTGAGATTATTCACAGCATACAAAGTTAAGCACATGCATTTATCTTTGGAGCCTTAGGTTGGCAGTTTGGGATTATCTGAGCTGGAACTTGGCCATGGACACCCCTGTTCTTGTGACAAGTGAAACAGGATCTATGAAACGAGCACATATCCAGGACCTCTGTGTTGTATGAAAGTTAAAAGGATAATTGCTCTCACATTTAAATGGAATTTAGCTGAAAGAAATACAGTATATAACTTCCCAGGATACAATGTTTAGCAGGAAAAGGTAGAAATGGTTTGAACTATTTTAGACTTTTAGAGCCTGGCGGGAGATGAGCGGAGCATGGGGAACAGATTTTCAGAAGTTTCAAATTACTTTCTTCTTCTTCGTCTTCTTCTTCTTCAAAATTAGCTTTAAAATAAAGCAATTTTAGCTTTGGCACCAAGGGGCCAGACAGCATCAATGACTCAGGCCTCCTGAGTCTGTTCTATTTGCTAGAAGCACCTGGGGTTGTTTAAAGGGCAAAGACATGTAACTGACTGTGCGCCTGTATCCGAATTAGAATTCTTTTGCCCCGGTAACAGTGCAGGATTCTCTGACGGGTGCAGGGATTCTGAGTGGTGCTGGAGAGAGCTGTCTGAGAACTCCATAAGCTGCTGATTTTGATCTCTATCATCCTGCTGCTGGCTGCCGAGTGCTGTTTAAAATCTGGTCCTTACTTAGGTGCCTAAATGGGAGTTGAGCAGTTTGGAAAATCTGGCCCAATCCCAAGAGCATGTCACATGGAGAACTTCCAACGGACATGGACAATTCTTTGGGTAGAGTGCTTTGGTCCCAGCTTTACATAGTAAGGCTGGGAGCACAGAAGAAAATGCAGTTCACTGAGGGGAGAGAAAGTTGTCCAGACAGAGAGACAACACAAACCTCACTTTAATTAAATATTCTAGTCACTGCTTGTTCTACAGAAATGCTTTCACTTCCTTCTGGGCTGCAGCCATAGGATCTGCCTCCTGCTATGCCTCGAAGGAAAGAAACAACCCAACTTGTTTACCAGTCTCCTCAATCAGATCTGCTGCAATCAGAAAACTCTTTTCTTTCTCCATTTAAAAAACAGACAGAAACTCAAGTTACTTACAAGTTACGTTGTTCTTCTCCAGCTGTTGAGGGTGATCTGAAATAACAAACACATTAAGGTTTAAAAGAAAATTGTACAAACGGCTTATTTTTCCTCCAACTCATTATTTTTGAACTTGCTTTTATTTTGCTCTAGTCTTACATAGTCTTAAACTAAATCTTTGAAGTATTTTGAAGAGATCTAATCCTTAAGTTAATATATTCATAGTGATTTAAAAGAAATCAGAAACTCTTATTCCCAGTGGAGTGGGGTTTGCACTCTGAATCAATATTGTCCTAACCTTTAATTTATTAAAGATACAGATTGGGTACAGACTAAACTTCTTTGCTCAGTTTTTCCTTTAAAGTTCTCTTACCAGCTTTGAAATGGGACTTGAAATGGATTGACAGGCTTTTGTCTGTAGCGTCACACAAGCTTCTGCATCCTCTGCTGAAATGCTGTTTTGTAACTTCTGTGAGCAAAGTGAGTCAGTTAATTGGCACAGATACTCCTGTGCCCTCCGCTACAGAAGTATACTAAAAGGACTATATTTTCTCTTTCTCCAGCCGTGGAAGAACGCTACTCTTCCAAAGCTTTCATGAATCAGATCCTTGGTCCTTTTTATAGTTCACCCATTTAAAGTGCACTTTGGGAGGGACAGGAAGGGAATATAAAGTTAAATCTACTGTTAGAGGGATTTCCCTCAACCCTCCAACTTCCCTGGTTCTTGTCACGCAGACAGCAAGCAGCAAAAGACCAGAAGTCCAAAGTGCAGACAATGAGATCTTTATTGGGGTTAGTTTCCAAGCAAGCATGTTCTGAAGCCCTTCACACCAGTTGGGCTTATGTCTATATGCTGATAGAGTCTGTTCCCCAGTGTCGCCCTTCCCAGCTCTAATACTGCAGAGCATTTACCCCGCCCATATCCCCCTTCCCAGCTCTGACGCCACAGAGCCTTGCCTGTGTCCCTGTTCCCATTCCTGTTCCCCCGCCCCCTTAGCAAACATGATTCCAATTTCCCTTCCCTCCCACTTCCTGTTTGACCCCAGTTTATATAGTAATATTCTCAGCTATAACTTAACCAATCATTTTACTGAAATCTATCTAACCAATCCTAACATATTGTAACATAATTCTCTAACCAATTATATCCCACTACCCTAATTAACTTACACCTAGCGAAATTAATTATACATTAGACAGAAATAATTAGAGAACCAGACAGATTAACAATAGAAAAATGGGGGCCATAAAGATAAAATATACAGAAATGAGGGTTTCACAACCACAACCATTGATAAGTGATTTCTTGCCAGACATAGGGTGACCAGATAGCAACTGTGAAAAAACAGGACAGGGGGTGGGGGTAATAGGTGCCCATATAAGAAAAAGTCCCCAAAAAACTGGACTGTCCCTTTAAAAACGGGACATCTGGTCACCCTAGCCAGACAGGATGCTATCAAACGAAGTTTTCTTTAACCATCTTTATCTGGTGGTGATGGGCACTATCAGGACAGGATTGTATTCCTAAGAGCCCAATACCACCTTATTTCAATGTGACTGGTTTGGGATGTAACCGTGCCCCTGCTGCTTAGCCAAAGGCCTTAGCCTAAGAACAAGGCCCCAGACTCTCCTAGTGAGAGAAGGCCCTTACACAGGCAGACTGCGATTTTGATTCTTTGTTTTATAGCGCTGTAACTAGCTAAGTGATAAAAATACACCTAAGTTCTTAAAGTATAGGCCTTTACAGGCAGGCCTGAATATCTGTATTCTAACATCTACAAAGATCAATCTAGGACCAAGAATCCAGATCCAATTTATAATATACAAATAGAGCAATGGCCACATTTTGACCCAGCCTTAATTGGACTTTCATTTCTTTGCCCACAAGTTTGCAAGTGCAAACTACTCAAAGAGAAGTTATCAATGGTTCGCTGTCAAACTGGGGGGATGTATCTAATGGGGTCATGCAGGGATCTGTCCTGAGGCCAGTACTATTCAATATTTTCATTAATGACTTGGATAATGGAGTGGAGGGTATGCTTATAAAATTTGCAGGTGACACCAAGCTGGGAGGGGTTGCAAGCACTTTGGAGGACAGTGTTAGAATTCAAACCAACCTTGACAAATTGGAGAATTGGTCTGAAATAAAGAAGATGCAATTCAATAAAGACAAGCGCAAAATACTGTACATTGCGGGGAAAAAGCGAATGCACAACTACAAAATGGGGAATAACTGGCTAGACTTAGTACTGCTGAAAAGGACCTGGGGCTGGATCACAAATGGAACAAGAGTCAACAGTGTGATGCAGTTGTAAAAAAGGCTAATATCATTCCCGGGTGTATTAATAGGAGTGTCATTTAAGACCTGGGAAGTAACTGTCCCACTCTACTCAACACTGATGTGGCCTCAGCTGAAGGACTGTATCCACTTCTGGATGTCGCTTTAAGAAAAGGTGTGAACAAATTGGAGAGTCCAGAGGAGAACAACAAAAATGAAAAAAGGTTTTGAAAACCTGACCTATGAGGAATGGCTTTAAAAACTGGCCATGTTTAGTTTTGAGAAAAGAAGACTGGGGGGACCTAAAAACAGTCTGCAAATACATTAGGGGCATGTTAAGAGGACGGTGATCAATTATTCTCCATGTCCACTGGAGGTCGGAGAAGAGGTAATGGGTTTAATCTGCAGCAAGGGAGATTTAGGTTAGATTTGGTGTGGGGGGAGAGGGTTGGAAATTAACCATAAGGGTAGCTAGGCTCTGGAAGAGGCTTCCTATGGGGGGTGTGGAATCCGAGTTATTGGAGGATTCTAAGAACAGGTTGGACAAACACCTGTCAAGGATGGTCTAGGATCCTGCCCCAGTGCAAAGGGCTGAACTAGATGAGCTCTCAAGGCCCCTTCCAGCCCTGCATTGCTGTGATTCTAAACATCACTAGCTGAGGCTCCTGGGCAGTCCCAGGGGGAGCCTGGAGGTCCCAAAGGCCTGGATTGCCACAGGATGGTGCTACACTCCATGCACGCCCATACCTGCAGGTTAGTGCAGTCAGCTTCCCTAGGATAGAGTCTTAGGCCTGGTCTACACCACAAAGCTGGGTCGACATTTGCTGCGTTAAGTCGAGTTAATAATGTATGTGTCTACACTTCCGAGTCGCTTCCGCGGACCTACAGGGCTTGTAGAGTTGACTTCTGTACTCCACCTCTGCGTGAGGCGTAGCGCTTCAGTTGACATCCATACATTGACATGGGGATAGTGTAGACACTGTGCTGTGTAATTCGAATCAAGTGGCCTCCAGGAGGTGTCCCACAGTGCTCCACTGTGACCACTCTGGAGACCACTTTCAACTCCACTGCACTTCAGCCAGGTACACAGGAAACAGCCGACCCCCTGTTAACGCCCCGGGAACTTTTGAACTTTCATGTCCTGTTTGATCAGTGTGGAGAGCTCAACAGCACAGCTGACCATGGATGCTCAAGGCCACAAACATCTCCAGCATGGAGTACCCAGGAGGTGGTGGATCTTATTGCTGCGTGGGGAGAAGAGTCTATGCAGGCAGAGTTCCGATCCTGCAGAAAAAACACAAACATTTATGCCAAAATCACGCAGGGCATGGGGGAGAAGGGCTACACCAGGGACACACAGCAGTGCCACGTGACAATAAAGAAGCTTTCGGCAAGCATACCAGAAGACTGAACAGTTGCTCCGGTTCTGAGCCACAGATATGTCGCTTCTATGAGGAGCTGCATGCGATTCTAGGTGGCGACCCCACCACTATGCTCCGTGTATACCTCCCAGGGGCCCCAGGCAACCTCGGGCAACAAGGAGGAGGACATTGTTGGTGAGGAACAGGAGGAGGAGGAGGAGAATGCGTGTCAGGCAAGCAGAGGATCCATTTTCCCCAACATCCAAGAACTTTTTTTTAACTCTGGAGCCCATCCCCTCACAGGAGCAATTGTCGGCGGAGTGTGATGCCGGGGATACATGCTCTCATTTTTATTAACTCTTCTGGCATCATTGCGGCGCGCAGCTTTGCAGCATAAGGACCAGATCTGTCCCAAGACGCTTGCAGCATCTGCTCCCTTTCCACATCTGTTACCCTCAGGAGAGTGATACTGCATACGGTCACCTAGGGGAAATGAGGGGAGGTTTTAAATGCTAGTCCTTAAACCGCAATCAATTCAAAAAGTAATCCACCCGTTTGCTGAATTGTGGGTCACACAACCACACTTTCCTGAGCGTGCCCTGGTCGTGGTTGGAAGGGATCACCCCATATTGCAGCCAGCATTTTAAAAAACCCGGGGCGACACTTCCTGTTCGTCTCCCTTCAATCCCAACCAGGTGCTGCTTCTGTAACAATCAAACTGTTTGCGGGGCTTTACGCCGGTGCCTGTCCTCAAGCACCATCCCGGTTTCTATGGGAAAGGGGGCTGTGCTGAGGTTGGAACCATTGATCCCAAGGATGTCTTAACAAAAGCCGCTGCACAGGATCTCCCGTCCCTGCCTCGTGGCCTCACTTACCATGGTTGCAGCAACAAACTGACTCTTGCAGTAGCCAGGGGTTCTGCTTACGTTGTGGCTTGCAGGGAAATGCACTGAGCAGGGGCAGTGGGTATCATAGGCAAGGGGAGGCTGTGCCGCCCCAAACAGCCTACCGTGGCCCCGCCCCCAGGCCAGCATGCCTCCTGCGGGGACTCGGGGCTGTTGGTGCTGGGCCGCGTTGCCTGCCTGGTGCTCCGGGGCTGGCCACCCGAGCACCAGGACTGGGGGCCACCCGGAGCCCCGGGGCTGGTGGCGCAGTGACCGTGGTGCCTGGCCACCTGAGCCCCAGGGCTGGGGACCACCTAGGGCTGGGGGGGGCGCGGCGAGGGGGATCAGGGATGGGGCAGGGGTGTGGGAGGGGCTCAGGGGTGCTGGCTCTGGGCGGCGCTTACCTCAAGCAGCTCCCAGAAGCAGCGGCATGTCCCTCCTCCGGTTCCCACGCGGAGGTGTGGCGAGGCGGCCGTGTGCGCTGCCCCCGCAGCTCCCACTGGCTGCAGTTCCCGGCCAATGGGAGCTGCAGAACTGGGACGTATAGGAGCTGGAGGGGGGACATGCCATTGCTTCCAGGAGCTGCACGGAACCAGGGCAGGCAGGGAGCCTGCCTTAGCCCCGCTGCGCCACCAACCAGACTTTCAACGGTCAGCGGTGCCGATCAGCAGGACTGGCCAGGGTCTCTTTTGGACCGGGCGTTTCGGTCAAAAACCAGACACCTGGCAACCCTAGACGTAGGAAACAAGGGGTGCGAAAAAGGCTTGGTTTGTTTGTCGTTTATTTCAGGGAGGGAGGGCGGTGGGTGCATCCTGGCAGGCTAATGCCATGTTCCATTTCCACCTGTGCAAACGTTTTGGTCTCATGGGGCATTGCAAGCCCAACCCAACCTGGCACTTGGCTCCAGGCACTGTGGGCTACCTAGGGAGGATGCACTCTGCCGACGCAACGAGCATAATGGGGACGTGCAAAATCGACTTGCTTCCATCGGAGGCTCGATGTCGACTTAACTAAAATCGACCTAATGCTGTAGTGTGGAGTGGTAGAATCCGCGCCCCCCCTCCTTTGCACAGTGGTAGAGTTCCACCAACCCTCGCCCCCTCCGAACGGCAACTACTTGGTACGTTCCCCCCCGTGCAGCCGGGTGGTAGGCGCTGCGCTCGCGGATTGGCAGCGCGGGCCCGCAGTCGGCGCGAGGGTTGTTCGGGGCGCGTGGGGCCGGCGCGGCGCTCGGGCCTCGGCCTCCTTCCCTCTCGCGCCCCGGCAGCGGCGGCCGGGATGGCTTCCGGTAAGCGCCTCGCTCCGCGGGGGCGGGCCTGGCCGCCGCCATGTTGGACTCGCCGCTTCCCCGGGGCCTTATCTTCCCCTCTGGGAAGCCTTGGGGCAGCCCCGCCCCTCCGTGGGGGCCGCCTCGCCCCTGGGGGCAGCGTTGGGGGCAGCCCCCCTGCGTGCTCCCCGTTGGGGCAGCCCTACCCCCCTGCGTCGGGGAGGGGGGTTTGCCTCTCCCCTGGCGGGAGCCCCGCCCCCACCCCCTGCGCCTACTCCCCTGGGGGCAGCCCCGCCCCCACCCCCCTGCGCCTCACCCCTGGGGGCAGCGTTGGGGGCAGCCCCGCCTCCTCCTCCTGCGCCTCACCCCTGGGGGCAGCATTGGGGGCAGCCCTACCCCCCTGCGTCGGGAAGGGGGGGTTGCCTCTCTTCTCTCTCGGGAGTGTGGACATGGGGCGGCTCCCTGACTCATGGGGGCTCCTGTCTCCCATTCAGTGGGTGGGTGCCCCCGCGGTGGTCAGCAGGGGCCCCCTTATGTGCCCTCGCTGGGCTAGGGCCCTGGGCACCCTTTGGGGGGTGATAGCGCAGCCCTGGAAGGCGAATGTCCCCGTCAGTGGCCGTGAGGGTGTCCCTGGGGGTTGTGTGGTTCCTGGCACCCACTGGAACAGGGTGGAAATGGCTCCTGCTTCTAGCTCTGATTGCGGCTGGGTGACCCTGGCATCTCGCTTTCCGAAGGTCTGCGGGCCTGCAGCCACCACATAGCCCAAGGGTCTGTTGCCTTTTCCTCGCCCCCAGCAGAAAGTTGAGAGAGGGGCCTTTACACCCTACATGGCGTGATATACAAAGAGCACCTGCCTCCACGTGGTGAGGCTCTTCGTAGATGGGGTGGGGAGTAGAGGCTGTGCTGTCACAGCATTAACTGGCCCATAGTCTCCATGGGGCTTCCTTGAGAACACACCAGTCCCTTCGCATCTGTCAGCGCGCAAATGTCTTTGACTTCTGGTACTGATCTCTTGGGAAAGTGTCCTGTCGTCACAGGATCCATGGTACCTAGAATGGATTGTAGATGGAGGGTTGTGGGGGTGGGGAGACAATGTGAAAATAACATTGCTGTTTCTGCTTGTTTATAAAAACCAACCCTATTTTAAGCTCTGCAGCAATAGCAGCTGAGGGAGAAGATAGAAGTCCTGTGGCTGCAGGTGCTTCCGAGGGTCAGCCTTACTTTGTCAGGGTTGAGCTGTTACAGTGCTGTCTCAGGCTGTGACATTTTGGATGACAGAATGGCTAAGAAAGGCATGAGATGTTCAGTGTCTTGTGGAAAGGCACAGAGGACAGTCTTTCACCATAAAGAAAAGATTTCAAAAGCGGCCTAAAAATTGAGAATGAGATTGGTCTCAGGAGATTTGGCAGCAAAATTGTAGAAGTTTTCTTCTCATACCCCAAAAGGTTTAGCAGCTTGGAATTTGAGAATAGGCTTTTCCATTTTTTCCTCACTGCGTTACTCAAACTCACGATTCTTCATATAAAAAGATAAAATTTAGAGGCAGAGATGTCTCATGCTAATAATTCAAGTAACTTGAATTCAAGAAAAACTGCTGAGGAAGCTGCTTTATTGATAGGCACTGCCTGTGTCCCAGCCAAAGCCCCTGGGGACTTCTTACAGGTTTTTTAAAAATAGCATATACAGTAACTCCCAAAATAACCATCTAAACTCTCCAAAAATACTCAAAAATATTAGTACCTATTAAGTCTATCAAAATAAACCACATATGAAATTTGTAGACTAATCAGTTAAGTTTATGGAGGATAGGTCCATCAGTGGTTATTAGCCCAGACAGTCAGGGACACAATCCTGTGCTCCAGGTGTCCCTAAAACCTCTGACTGCCAGAAGCTGCGACTGGATCACAGGAGATGGACCATTCAAACTTTCTCTGTTCTGTTCATTCCCTCTGAAGCCTCTGACACCAGCCACTATCAGAGAGAGGGTACGGGGCTAGATGGACCATTGGTCTGACCCAGTATATCTATTTCTATTTGTGTTCAGTGTAAAAAAGGACACTCAAAACATTAGAAAAAGTATACAAAAATACTTTTTTTTAAAAAAATGTATTCTCTTATCTTACATACTCCTTGTCCAGTTACCCTCAGTCTTTTTGGAAAAGTCCCACTTTTGCAGAAGCTCACAAGTGGAAAAATTAGGAGGATAAAAGACAAGTTAATAACTTAAAGCTGGCTACGTTCTTAACTGATATGGTACTCTTTGGTTCAGTGCTTCAGTTCATTTTGAAACTGATAGCTCATGAAAGCTGTTAGACATTCAGGTTAAAAATGTATTAAAAATACCCTTACCTGTTTAATAGTAACCTCTATTAAATGATTAAAACTAAAAAATTTTAAAATTGAATTAATCTTCACCTTTATGGTGATTGTTTCCCTTTTGCATTTGTCAGCTTGGACAAGAAAAGAAACATGCGAATTTCACTCTGTTTTAGGTCACAGTTTCAGAGAGGTAGTCATGTTAGTCTGTATCAGCAAAAACAACAAGGAGTCCTTGTGGCACCTTAGAGACTAACAAATTTATTTGGGCATAAGCTTTCATGGGCTATAACCCACTTCATCAGATGCATGGAGTGGAAAATACAGTAGGCAGGTATAAATATGCAGCATGTGAAAAGATGGGAGTTGCCTTACCAAGTGGGGGGGTCAGTGCTAATGAGGCCAATTCAGTTAGGGTGGATGTGGCCCATTCACAACAGTTGACAAGGAGGTGTGAGTATCAACAGAGGGAAAAGTATTTTTTGTAGTGACCCAGCCACTCCCAGTCTTTATTCAGGCCTAATTCGATGGTGTCAAAACTTGACAAAGTTAATAGTGGACTGTGAAAGTAGGCCTGGCTGTGTAGGGCGATATAAATAGTTGTTGTTTTTTTTTTAATATACACAGAAACCATAGTTATGTTCTAATTTTTCATCTCTGGAGACTTAAATTTGGGTTGGATTACAGGTGAATTGAGGAAGTACTTAAAAAAAGTAATTACACAAATTATTAGAATTTTGGTTGTGACTGGTAGTGTAGTTTCTAAAGGGACCAAAGTTGGCATGGCAATGGGTAAGTGACTACTGGAACATATGTAGATGACTTGTAAAGTTCAGTCTCTAACTCCGTGGTGGGCAGCCTGTGGGCTGCATGCGGCCCATCAAGGTAATCTGATTGCGGGTGGCAAGACATTTTGCTGACGTTGACCACGCGCAGGCACAGCCCACCACAGCTCCCGATGACCGTGGTTCTCCATTGACCACCACTGCTCTAACAGATACCATTTCACCAGGTCTATGAAGAGTTTTTGACATTTACACATTGTAAATGATATCAGCCATTAAAATGTAAAAAGCCAAGGAAATCCACCTTTATCCATAATGACAGGTTTCAGAGTAACAGCCGTGGTAGTCTGTATTCGCAAAAAGAAAAGGAGTACTTGTGGCACCTTAGAGACTAACCAATTTATTTGAGCATGAGCTTTCGAAAGCTCAAAGTGTGAATTCAGAATTCACACTTCAGAATATTAAATCCCTGATACCTAGGCAATGGGCATGCTCACCCTAATGTTGCTCTCTGATAGCTTTTAAAGTCTAGATTCGTAGACCTGATGTGGTAATAGTATATTCTGGGGAGCTTCAGGTGCAGATTTTGCTGCTCAGGATCCTTACTAAGATGTCTTACAAAGTACAGGTTTAACTTGATCTTAATTACCGTGGTTCTGAGATTTTTTTTTCCCTCAAAAGCCACATTCTTTTAATGTACTTTTGTTGTCTGAATCTGTTTGCCTGCTATCAGAAAGATTCCATCATTTGTAAGTAGTGTAGTAAAGTCTTGACCTTTGTTCGGACAACTTGCATCCTTTGTAAATGAACAACCAAAACTGGGGTTTCTGTCTGGCTTGTGCTGGTGATTATAATTTTTCTGCCACTGCCAAAAGGCAGGGAAATGTCATGGGGGAAGGTGCGGGGGTCTTTCTTTCCACTAATGCTCCCCCAAATTCCACGTTATCCTCTGCTCCTTTGCCAAGAAAAGCTCTCTAACCTAACCCATTGTCTTAAAATGGACATCAGATAAAACTGACAGATTTGGCTATGTCTGTTTACTTTATTTTAAGATGTTTATGATGTACTCTTAATTGATAATGGTATTTCATTCTCTAGCCATCAGAGGGTGCCTGTTCATTAGTCATGCGATCCTTGAGACTTAAAGTGGTGTCATCAAAGTAAATCTATATTTCAAAACGCAAGATGAAAGTAGTTACGAGTACTGCACTTGCCTGAGTCCCGCTATTCTGTTGTTTTACAAACAGATTTTAAAAAATGGTTTTCTCTCGCCTGTTTTCTCTTGCAGACAAAAGGGGAAACGGGCTGCCTATAAAATAAAAATACTAACCTGATAAATACTGTCCAATGCACAAAATAACCCGAGAAAATATTTTTTTTCTCTGTTTCATTTACAATAATTTTAGGAGCTACTTCTGAAAGTAATAGATAAAAGATTTTCAAAGAAATGTCTTTGTTTTTAAACTTGATGTCCTTTAATGACTTCAGTTTGACACATTGCTGTTTTGGTGACTGTCCATTTTGACTACTCTAAAAACTGTGTAATAAACATATCATGCATGCATAGGTTGACTTTTTTTATGTAAAACTCATTTCTTTGAATTCATTGAAAATCTGTAAATGACTTAGAAGAAATTCTGGATTAACCATTAACTTCTGCCTTTGGTTCTTACCATCTTAACTCTATTTACGAGACTTTTTGTCAGTCTTTACCTAGGTGCTCTAGAATTGAGGTCTCATTTGGGTGAATCAGAAGCGCTCTGTGCTTCTTACTAAAATGCCTTTTTTCTTTTTCCTTTTTTTTTTTTAAATAGATTCTGGAAGTTACAGTCAATCTGGGGGCCAGCAGCAGAGGTATGTAGGACATAACATATGAAGTACTTTTGAAAGTGCGTGTGGATGATGCCATAAATATACACAAGTATTTTTTTCTTTTTGTTACTTTCTTAAGGTGTTTGTGAGGTAGTCAGAGATATGGTAAGTAGTAAGACTTTGAGCAAAATAGGTAGTCAGAAGTGTCAAGTAAGGTAAATGTTCTTCCCAAAACTAGTTGAAAGAAGTTAAAACCTACCTTTGTGCTCCCTGAAATTGATAAATTCATAGCTAAGAATGTTTAAAAGCTGATTCATAAAATAGCCACAGGTGTTTTCCATGTGACAATCTATCCCATGCATTTTAAATATACAGGGCTGCTTCACAATCACTTGTATGTGTTTTGTTATTGGACAAGTGGCTCTTAAGCTCTTTTGTTCCCAGAATGCCTCTTCTAACCAATTGTAGGGATTTGTCTCTCTGCTGCACATAGAATGTAAATACAGTAGCTGGTTTGTGTGTTATAACTCTAAAACCCCAGTTCTACAATTGGATCTACACAGGCAGACCTTTATGCCCATACATAGTTTCAGTGAATTTGCTGGGGCTCTCCCCATGGAGATCAAATAGCAGGATATAGGTGTAAATCTGGTTTTCACCATGAGAAACTGATGTTTAAAAGTGTTGTATTGAAATAGGAAAAATGGACTACAACTGGGTTTATGCACATTTGCAGAAATTACATTAATTCTGGAATCTAGGCAGTATTACAATAATCTGAATTGTGAGAAAGATATTATCGATAATAGTATTCCTTCACAAAAGTATTCAAATCCTGGATACACCTGACTGTTTTAGTGAAAGTGTCTACAGTACGTGCGTGTACATTAACACATGGTTAAAGAGGTCATAGCAATGTATGTAATACACAGCTGAACAGTACCTTATTTTAGTGCATAACTTGTCTGTGAAGTTCATGATGGATTCAGTAAAATGGGACAATATCAAGTAAATATAGTCTGAAGCTGGTGCAGTTTTTCATGAGGATGAACTACAATATTGTTAGACTCCTCAGCAAATTATCAGAGGAATAGTAATTGATTAAAAGGCAACTGACTTAAAATCTGTTAGTATGCTTTTTGTGTTTTTGTATTTGACCTTTTTAAGTGTTCTTTAATTTTGAATAATTTGGGTTCATATAAGATTCATTTTCATTATAGGATATTCTGGAAAATTACAATAAGGCTCAGCTCCTATACCCTAAAATCTATACTTGAAACAGAATCTGAGTTTAAATTCTCCAGCTTTTGTCTACCAAATCTTTCATCTTAGTCATCCATTATTTTATCTCTGCATTTCTAATCTGCTTATCACTGTAGGCACATAGGTTAAATACATAAAAAGACAAATATTTAAATTAGAAATATTCCCAAATCACAGTAAGTACAAGAAACTTGCAGTTTACATAACATAGTTTACTATATACTTTTCCTTATACTGTGTATTTTATTTTATCTAATAGTTGATACAAGTTTACTTAAAAAATTCTATATTTTACAGCTATTCATCATATGGCAGTCAAGGCAATCAAAATTATGGACAGGCACCACAGGTAGGCTGAAATACAATTTGTGCTTCTTAATTTTTTTTTTTTATTTTTTTTTCCCCGAGTAAGAGATGATTGTTTTGTTGACTTGTCTGCATTAAGAAATAGCCCAATTTCAGTCATCAGTGGAATAGAGCTGCACTGATGCAGGCCCCCGGTCTAGACAAGGAAAGACATTATTTCCTCTAGTGGATCTGACCTCTGCTTGAAATCTTTCTCTAAATTACAGGGTTATTCTGGCTATGGGCAGAGTGGGGAGAGTTCCTCTTATGGACAGAACTATGGAAGTTATCAAGGAAACTATGGACAAAGTCAAACAGGTTGGCTAGCTTGCTGAATTTCCTGTCTAGTAAATATTCATGGTTTGATTACATAAAAAATTCTCCTGTTCAATTTTCAGGTTGTGGACAAACTTCACAACAAGGATATGGCAGAGGATCTGGTTATGAAAATAAGAATCAGAGCTCATATGGCCAACAGTCTTATGGCAATCAGGAGCAACAAAAAGAATCATCTGGAGGGTAAGGAAATAAAGTTAACCATGTAAGTTTCAAGCACTGTCTGCCATAGATACCTTGTTAAGTAGCTATATTTGGAAACTTATTAGAGCAATCTTTAAGAACATCCTCCAACTCCCAGCTCTGGAAGCTTTTAAATGGAAATGTAATTTTCTGATAAATGGGTTAAACAGTCATACTAGCAATTGTCTGGTCTTCTAACGATTCTCTGTCCTGATATTTGTGGCTTCCTTATTGCTTATATTGTTGACACCATGGATAGTGTTTAATTTAAACTAAAGATTATTTACCAATACAATATGATCTAAATACCTCAAATGTCTATTGATGTTCTATTTAGAGTATTTGACTTTCTTAAAGGCTGCCTACTTTCACTGTAAAATACTTTGCACGACTCCTCTGGAGAGGAGCTGGAAGGTTTCACTAATCTTATAGTCACAGATACAAATGCTTGATTATACAGAATTGTATGTAAACCAATTCAGTGCCAGGACACTGTAGGACAATCTAGATATATGACAACTGAAGACTTTAAATACCAATTGCCTGCTGTTTTTCCCTGTTCAGGCAGCTTGATTTAGGAATAAGGGAGGGAAAGCAGACTGCAGTAGGGGTCTGATGTTTGTCTCAACAGCAGGAAGCTTTAGCAATCATGAAGTGGATAAAGACCATCTTTTTGTTGTGGTTTAACTACTGTTTATTTAGGAAGTTTTAACAGGTTTACAAATCTTTCACATGTAAATATCAGAAACAAAACCATTAAAGCTGACCTTTTTGTTTAAGGAGACACTATACAAATACATCTGATGAAGTGAGCTGTAGCTCACGAAAGCTCATGCTCAAATAAATTGGTTAGTCTCTAAGGTGCCACAAGTACTCCTTTTCTTTTTGCGAACACAGACTAACACGGCTGTTCCTCTGAAACCTGTACAAATAATATACTCCTTAGAGCTCTCTGGTTACCAGGGTGTTGCCATATTACAGTGAGCATCATAACACCATTCAAGCCTGCTTGAACATGTTGTTTCTAGTGATTATTTTTTTATTAAAGTGATTGTTTAAATGTGTAATCAGGCATGCCTGTCAAATATAAATTTTCCAAAAAAACTGGACAAATGTGCTGTTTTCTGTACTGAATAGTCCCAGTCTTTAAACTTCTCTGGTTCATGATGTGGGTTAAGAGCTGGATTATTTGTAATTGGTGTAGTTGGCAAGGGAAAAGAACTTCTCTCTAGTTCTATTCCAGACTCATAGAGGAGCCTTTGCTAAAGGATGTGTGTACATTTCTGGAGGGTGTGAATTTTTTATTAATCCATGGTAGCCTAGCAGTATTTACACTGCCACAATTTTTTTTCTTCAGTAAAGACCCACTGTTGGCTGGGTTAGAGCACCTCTGATCTGCTACTGCTTTGAGCTGGCTGCTTAATGGATCTGTCCACGGTATCTGCACTCACTCTTGGTCTTTTCTTATTCCGTATAAATGCTAACATCCTCCATGGTATTTCTGCTACAGTTTTATCTGGAATGACTACAAGAAGATTTTGAAAGAAGAAAGAGATCCCTTTGCAAAATACTCATTTTGACTGTGGCTCTTCTCCCCAACCAAGAAATTGCATACTGCCCCCAGTACTCCAGATCTTTTCATTTGCTGAAATAGTGGTTTGACATTTAAGTGTCGAGTTCTTCTAGGGTGTTTGAGATTTGAATCCCCAGGTATCTTATAAAATTGGTTGCCCATTTGTACCCAGATGTTTTCTGGAAGAATGACTTTTCAGAGTTTGGGAAATTTATAGCTAGAACTTCATATTTGATATAATTTACTTTGTCTTTCTTTGGGAAAGCATCTAGATTCAATCTTCTTATCCCGAATAGCACGGAGGACCAAATTCATCCTCTGTGTAACTCTTTTGATTTTGATGGAGTTACTCTGAGGCTGATTGTGGTCCAGGATCTTGGTGGAAGTAGGTGTAAACCAGGCGGAACAGTCCTTGCATTCGCTGTCTGGATTTTCACTATGATTGCTAAAGTCATCAATAGAAAACAATAAAACAAAACCCATGTTTCCTATGGTGTTAATAGCATTTTCTGTTGGTTTGTTTCTGCTGTTAAACAGATGATGTGATGATAATACATGCGTTTCTGCTCCCCTGCATCTGAAGCCACACCTAGCGAAGTCAAACAGTGTGGTATTTCTGTATAAATAAAGGTGGTGGTTTTGTGGGTTTGTATTTTGTTTTTAGAGGAACAGCCGTGTTAGTCTGTATTCGCAAAAAAGAAAAGGAGTACTTGTGGCACCTTAGAGACTAACCAATTTATTTGAGCATGAGCTTTCGTGAGCTACAGCTCACTTCATCAGATGTATACCGTGGAAACTGCAGCAGACTTTATATACTCACAGAGAATATGAAACAATACCTCCTCCCACCCCACTGTCCTGCTGGTAATAGCTTATCTAAAGTGATCAACAGGTGGGCCATTTCCAGCACAAATCCAGGTTTTCTCACCCTCCACCCCCCCACACAAATTCACTCTCCTGCTGGTGCTAGCCCATCCAAAGTGACAACTCTTTACATAATCAAGTCGGGCTATTTCCTGCACAGATCCAGGTTTTCTCACATCCCCCCCACCCCCATACACACACAAACTCACTCTCCTGCTGGTAATAGCTCATCTAAACTGACCACTCTCCAAGTTTAAATCCAAGTTAAACCAGAACATCTGGGGGGGGGGTAGGAAAAAACAAGAGGAAACAGGCTACCTTGCATAATGACTTAGCCACTCCCAGTCTCGTGGCTAAGTCATTATGCAAGGTAGCCTGTTTCCTCTTGTTTTTTCCTACCCCCCCCCCAGATGTTCTGGTTTAACTTGGATTTAAACTTGGAGAGTGGTCAGTTTAGATGAGCTATTACCAGCAGGAGAGTGAGTTTGTGTGTGTATGGGGGTGGGGGGGATGTGAGAAAACCTGGATCTGTGCAGGAAATAGCCCGACTTGATTATGTAAAGAGTTGTCACTTTGGATGGGCTAGCACCAGCAGGAGAGTGAATTTGTGTGGGGGGGTGGAGGGTGAGAAAACCTGGATTTGTGCTGGAAATGGCCCACCTGTTGATCACTTTAGATAAGCTATTACCAGCAGGACAGTGGGGTGGGAGGAGGTATTGTTTCATATTCTCTGTGAGTATATAAAGTCTGCTGCAGTTTCCACGGTATACATCTGATGAAGTGAGCTGTAGCTCACGAAAGCTCATGCTCAAATAAATTGGTTAGTCTCTAAGGTGCCACAAGTACTCCTTTTCTATTTTGTTTTTGAGTCCTGAAGGAAATCAAGACTAGGAAGTCTGATCAGAATCATTATGCATTTTTAGCCATTATTCTGCTCTCTCTATACTGGGAATATAAACTCTCTTCACTGTCTAATAATTAAATTATTATTCCTCTTTATTTTCAGTGGAAGAGCCTCTTCATATGAACCCAAGTCAAGCTATGACCAGCAGTCGAGCTATGGTCAGCAGCAAGGATCGTATGACCAACAGTCAGACTATGGCCAGCAGCAGGGCTCATGTGACCAGCAGTCAAGCTATGATCAGCAACAAGGTTCATATGGTCAGCATCAGAAATCCTATCAATCACAGCAAAAGGAAAGCTACAGTCACAACATGCAAGGTAGAGCATGCAGAATGAGTATAGTAATCTTTAGCCAAGTTAAATTGAAGAACTTCGTTCTGTTTTGTGATATGAAATGTTTTGGGTTTCTGCATACAGATTATTATTTGGGGGAGATGGAAAGCAGTGAAAGTCTTTTTCTCCAATTTGGTGAGTGTTTCTTGTAGAATGATGGAGATGGAGAACTCTTACTACCTACTCATGACTTGGTGGGGTCAAAAATTGTGTCCACATCTATGCATGAGTTTTCTGATCCCTGAAACTTTTTTCACCTTTTTCTTCCTTATGTGTGGGAAGAAAGGTTTTCACTTTAGATTTGAGGGTGGGTGCCCTGATCAACGCTAATGTTATAAGAATCTTCATCCCAAGCCTGCAGCTGCCTTAGTTAAATTAAACAATATCAGGTGATTGGCATGCCCTTTTTCAGCCCCCTTGACGTTTCTTTCGTTTGGAGTGTTTATATTTTTAAGAGGAGGGAGGGAAGTGAATGCCTATAAAGGGTGAGTCCCACCAGAAAGGCTTTCCATCCTTTCCAATGTCTAGGAGCACAGTTGCCTTTTGAGGGGGAAAAAATGAAGATATTTAGAGAGATTGCAGATTTGCTGCCCTGTGTCACTTCTTTGTTAAGACTGGCTGGATGTGGAGGTCTGGCTGTGTGCATGGAAGATCAAAGCTCTGTACAGGAAGTTGACAGGCAGATGAAATGACTTTCCCTGCATGTAAAGAATGTTTGTTGTCCCTCCTCTCCTTAAAGTATGTTTGAAAAGAAGAGAGGGGCTCTGAAAGGGAACTGCGTCCTATGGGCAGAATCTATGAGAAGGAAGCTGTTCAAGTTCTGCCACTTTGTCAAAGCTGCTAAGGAAAAGGAGCCTGTAGTTTCCTGAGGCTTTTGCTCCCTCTGTTTACTGTCTCCCATCAGCTTGCAGCAGCTTAGTTACATCCTTCTGCCCTGGTGGCTGTCACTGCAGGTTCTCTTCTTTACTACACTCTTTTCCAGATTAGATACAAGTGGGGAGTGAAGCAAGATGGTGAGTCTGAAGCAGCATGGGGGGAGGAGGAGAATAAGAGACTTTGCAGCTGCAGGTGGAGTAAAGGCAGAAAAAGTGAGAGACTTGATAGGGGGGGAAAGGCTTTCTCTCTCCTTCAGTGGTATTGTGGAAGCTGCAGGGCCAGAGCTGACTATCGCTGGTTCCATATTCCAGGGCTTTGTGGTCTTATTTGCCTGCCTGTATTGGAGGGTTACTGGGAAGTGGAGGGAAGAAATATCTCCATATGCACAGGCACTAGGCACCTTGGAATCTGTCTTTACCTCCCTGGACAGTGGTCTGATCTGCTTTACTTATCTATCACAGCACCAATGTCTCAGCTTCTGTCTTGACAAACAAGTGATGTGAAGATTAAAACGTAGCCTTTAACCGAACTATTTACATGTCTGTCTTTTTCAGGGTAGGAGAAACTCAGCTGGGATTTTAGGCGCTATGGATTTATTTTCTGCAAAATGTGATGTACCAGAATATGGTGGCATCCACATTCTAAGGAATATCACGTCCCATAGTAATCTAGGGAGATAAATCAGAACTTGATTTAGGCCTTGTGATTGTGTGGAACAGATGCAAGAAAAGAGCTTAAAACACGAAAGTCTTATTTATTTTTTAATTGGAAAATTTAAGCAATGGGTTTAGTATAAACTTGCCATTCAATTTACACATACTTTGTGGTTCTCTAGATGGTCGACGTGAAAAGAGTAGGTATGGAGAAGATAATAGAGGATACGGCGGTTCACAGGGAGGAGGTAGAGGGGGATATGAAATGGATGGAAGAGGTCATATGTCTGGATTAACGTAAGTGATCTAATCCCAATACCTGCAAATGTATTTGTAATATCTTGCTATTTAGTTGCTTTGGTTTCAGTGTTTAAGATAACACAATTCAGATCTTTGAGCACAGAAAACAGAAGGTTGTTGCTTCCTAAAATTACGCTGATCAGCCTGCACTGAAATACTAAAGATTTAGCCCAGGGAACATTACTTATATTGGAATAGGACAAGACTTAAAGTGATGATCATAAAGACACTTGGCTACATTTTATATCTAATGGCTGTGATATAAGGCTTCTCAAAGAGACCACTCTTTGACATCAAGTATTTTACATGCTATGAACCAAGATTCTTTCTAGATGCCTTTAAAAAAAAAAAAAAAGAGAGAGAGGCTCAAAAATAGAATTTAGAGCCAAGGTTCTGTGGCCTAATGGCAGATAACCCTCAGGCAGGAAAGCATTTTCCATATATGGTGACTTATTACAGTAATATCACCAAGTCTTAGAGTGCTTTATATCAATAGATTTCAGTGTGCTTTACAAAGAAGGCCAGTATTATTACAGATGATATGCAAGGTTTGGCTAATGTCTTTAATAAAGCAGAAAGACTCAGATTACTCGATCTTGACTACTTTTTTCCCCCAGTATTTCCTCTGAAGTAGTGACTGAATAAACAAACATGAACCTGAAGGAATTCAACAGCTTAGCTACGTTTTTCTGTCACTGTTTTAGCTATCAAACTAAAACGATGATGGCCTTCTAATTCAGTTTATTTGCCTTTACTAGATGTCAGGTTTTTATACTTACTGTAAATGTTTCTACTGCTGATTTAGGCCTTGATCCTACAAAGACAGACTTATGAACATGCTTCCAACTGTATATATGTATAGCGTTCATGCACGTGCATGAGTTTGCAGGATTGGGGGCCTTTGTTTTAAAATCCATTTAAACTGCCCAAACTACATATAAAGTTAGCAAAGATGCAAAGAAGCTGTTAATTTATACCTGCTACCTACAGTTCTGAGTTGCAGTTCTACGGATGTAAAGCAAGACAGTGTCAAATAGAAATTAAAGCTACCAGCAACCCATGAACTGTTGTTTATTAACACCACCATTCCACTGCCACATGGGGCTGCTTTGAGTTAGTGCTGGATCTGCTGAGGTGGAATGAGAAGTAGATATCCTATTGTTTGTGGGGAGCCGTCGAGGTTTAAGTAAAATAACCATGTCTCATAGTGACAGGTTTCAGAGTAGCAGCCGTGTTAGCCTGTATTCGCAAAAAGAAAAGGAGGACTTGTGGCACCTTAGAGACTAACCAATTTATTTGAGCATGAGCTTTCGTGAGCTACAGCTCACTCCGATGAAGTGAGGTGCCACAAGTACTCCTTTGCATGTCTCATAATGTTGTAGGACTGCCTTTCACATGCGAATTTAGTATTTCTCTGAATGGATATTTTGTAGAATGCTTTCCATAGATTCTCTTGTAATATTAGACTGTTAGTGCTGACTTTTATATTATGAAAATGATTCAGTGTTTCTCACAGTTGAAATAAAAATGAGATCATGTCATTTAACTTGGTTATAACATGGTTTACTCTGATCCCATCCATATAGGAATGTCCAAATCATGTTCTAACTAGGTTGGTCCTACATTATTATTCTTTGTAACCAGTTCGATAACGTATATGGATCTTGAATATTTTGACTTGGTATATGGTATCAAAGTTACTAGAAACTCATTTTAGATGGATCTTAGAAGTGAGTGAACTCTGTGCTCCTTCATAATTGGCAGCTTTTGTATAGCGTAAGCTTCACAGGCAGCAAACCCTCTTCAGATGTTCAATTTCAGTTAGAATTGAGGTTTTTAAGAATATTGTAGCTGCTTCATTGTGGGTAAGGGTCTCTGTAACTCCCGTGATAAAACCAGATTTTTTTGTCTTTGTCGTTGAGCCTCTTTTAATGAAGAAATTTTAAAGTAAGCATCAAAAGACATACAACTGGTGGACAATGTCCATTCAAAACAAACTTGGTGTGTTTTTTGCAAGGTGGTGAAACAGAAGCCAGGAAAATAAATAAATAAATAAAATAAATCACTCCCGCATTACTGCTGTTTCAACAGATGTGTAAATAATCATGTTGGCATGTAAATATAGTTGATCCCATTGCTTGACATCCACTTCCAGGAAAGGAAAAGAGTGTGGATGGGGGTTGAAAAATGTGAAGGAATGTATTAGTGGGAGGGGAATGGAGCCATTTTTAATGATTCTGTTTTCCTCTGTTCAGCACAGCACAGCGATGGTGTTTAAGCTTAATGACTCAAACTAAAATATGTCCTAGAATTTTTCAGCCTAGATACAGTTGTCTTCTATTTTGATTAAGGTTTCTACTCCTAAAAAGTCGATTTTTACTCCACGTTCAAACGCTTCTTGACCAAGTTCTAACAAAAGCTTGAGTTGTTTGCAATCACAAAATTAATGTGGTGGAAGGAGAACAACTTTAATAAGGTAACAGATCCCTGCTTTTAGTCCTGAGAACAATATTTGCCCCCCCAAAATCAGCCCAAACCTAAAAGCAACTTGTGCACATATGCTGAGGCTACTTCTGATGGTTATTTGTTACACAGTGTTCGACTGCGATAGTGTTTTTCACGGTAACACTTAAATGTGATATTTCCGGTAATATCAGGAAGTATTTAACTCTAAAGGCTTGTCTAAACACAGTTTTTGTACTGATATAACTATATAGGTTTAAACATTTGCAGTTAGTGGTCTAAAAAAAAGTTAGACCAGCCCTTAGGTTGCACTAAACATTTCCAGCTTAAAAATTTAAATATGTTTCTTTAAAGATGCTGTAACGTTTGTCTGAAGTGCCTTCTTTGCACTTTTCCTGGATGTTGCATGAAATCACTAGCTAATCTGAGACTACAATGGATGAATGTCCTTTGCATGTTAGCTGTTCATAAAGATGCTCTAGCTCCCCTGATGGTAACGGTGACAGGCGGGTGGTCCAGCCACGGGTGTTCTTACCACTTAGTCCAGGTCCGAATTTTTCGGTCAGGGTATAGTCAAGGTCCAGACTTCAGAGAAAATAATAAAAAAGTAATAATGATAAATAAAAAGATTTTGGCGTCTGTTCAAAGGGGTCTTGCGGTCCAGCTTTGGCCCATGGTCCACCCGTTGACTACCCCTGACTTAGTCTAACCCTACTGTGAGCCATGATGAGCAACAGAGTCGTTAAAATGCCAGCAGCAGTTAGTGCCTTTGCTGGCACTGTCCTGACGTTCTTTGCTAGCATTTTTTTTTAACAAGGGAGGATTGCTAGGTGTGGAGTCATCTGTATTTGTAAAAAGAAAAGGAGTACTTGTGGCACCTTAGAGACGAACCAATTTATTTGAGCATGAGCTTTCGTGAGCTACAGCTCACTTCATCAGCTCACGAAAGCTCATGCTCAAATAAATTGGTTAGTCTCTAAGGTGCCACAAGTACTCCTTTTCTTTTTGCGAATACAGACTAACACGGCTGTTCCTCTGAAACCTATCTGTATTTGTGTGATTCCAGGCTTTTGTATGGGACAAAACCAAATTATTTATTGTTTCCATAAGCATTTTGGACAAAAGTAGCTGAAAATATAGATGCTTCTTAAAATGTGTAATATTGTCCTGACACTTAATGAATGAATTAATTGCTTTCAAGATAATGTGCAGGGATTCCCAAAAATGTACCTTACTTAATGCCTACAGCATTCAGTTCACTTCCTGTGCATGTGCAGAGTCAAGCAGCTTTGGGGGAAAGTGCTTTATATGAAAATTGCTGCTCAAATCCAGTAACCCATATTCAAATTCAGTAGTTAACTTCTGCCCCAAATGCTTGCATCGTGGTAAGTAACCAGTGGTCTGATAATTGCTTTTTTTATTTTTAAAAATGGTTTTGAGCTGGATCTCTTGGAACTCTAGATGCAAAATAACAATCCATCCAAACTTCCATTTTTGTTGTTTTTTAAAATAGACTGCTGAGATCCTTTGTGCCAGACTTTAGCTAAGAACAAACGTTAAATCTATACTATAAAACCATTAAAAAAAAAAAAGTTTACAACTGAAACCAAACAAAACCATCACCTGTCTCTTGAGATGCACTGATTTGAGGGAGAGGTCATGCTGGCACTTACATAGTAACTGTTCTATATGCCCTTTCCCCTCCCCTCCACCCATTCTGTACTCTTACGGTTAGAGCACAGCACTAGGACTGAGAATTCCTGAGTTCTGTTTTTGGCTCTGCCTCCAGCTTGTTTTTCTTCTTTGAGCAAATCACTTTTCCTCTCTCTGGAAAATAGAGAATGTGTGTCTCAGGTTGTTGTGGTACTTAATCCTTTTCTGCAAAATGTCTCGAGCCCATTAGATGAAAGGTGCTATGAAAGTGTGTGTGTGGGGGGGTGTACCTAAAATCCAGAAAAAGTCACTCAATTAGTGCAGTGTCAATGGAGCAACCATAATTGTTCTGTCCCCTTGTATCAGAATCTGTGGACTCAGTGGGTAAAGTTCTGCCTTCAGATTACACTGAAAATTGGGCTACACCCATGCAGCTTCTTGTGCAACGTAAAACAGAATTTGTTCCACTCAGTCATTGAGTTATCACACTGCTAAACATAGGATTTTCTTGGTTGTGTGTGATTAAATCTAAACCTGATTTTAACTTTATTATATTACAAGTGAAAATTATGCATTGCTGCTTATTTGTTATATTTAGTTCCTTTGTGTGGGGACTCAGCCTAATCTAATACCAAGAAATTGTCATACAGCTAAAGTGGCTTGTATTATCATGCCATCTGTGTTTAGAATTGATATTACGTTATTAGGTTTCTGTACGTTCATGTTCAGGCTTTACAAAGTTTGGAAGAAAATAAACAGGGACACAGGTTTATGGAGTTCAGTGAATAAATAACTGTTTGTATGGAACTTCATAAGATAACAATAGTGATTTCTCATTTCTTTGTATCCCCATTACACTTCCAAGTAGGTCACTTCCTGCA